AGTGGGACTGACCGCAGCGTCAACAACACGGTTTGCACCGGTCGTGGTAGTTTCGAAAGAAATGGTTCTCGGAAAAGGCCATTGTCAAATGTGCATGCGCGGATTACTTCTCGCATGCATGCGAGGACTTCAGTATCTGAGTAGCTGCCTAGCTCGATGTTACGAAGTAATTCGTCTTAGCGCTGGCGATCTATGAGATCGCTTTTCTTTGGCAGTGCGGCCCTGAAAAGTGCATAAGGATCACTTACTTCAGGAATAAACATGTATGCCATACCAAACCAGTTTAATTCCCGCGGTAGTGAACGTATGACGGCAAGAAATCGAGAATGACGATCTGAGACGCCCTGTTCTCGAAAATCGGCCTCGGCATACAGAAATCATGTTTCCGCATTGTCTAGCCAATATGGCATGAGTTGAATCCTGTTTATGGTCGGCGTAATACAAATAAGCTTGGGAGAGTGGTCGGAAATGAGAAAGTGTAGTAAATGGGTATATAAATGTTTTCAAAATGAAAACAATATAAAAATATGAAATGTAACAGGCTCACAAATTCTATATCTGCTATTGGTCGGGATATGTGATCACGTCGGGCTCACCAACTTAGGATTTGTCCTATTGAGAACTTGACAGAAGCAAAGACTAATCACCAATTTTTCGGACTTGTTATATACCTACGAGTACGAGACCAAGAAAGAACACGATAGCGTAGTCGGATGGAATAGTATATCTGGATGGCTGTGCAAAGATACCGATGCGTTCCAAGTAACTAGCTAGAGAGTCGATTATGAGCAGCTCAACGTAACTAGACAGCATGCCAAATGGTGAGGATGCTTGACCGGGTGATTTCAGCTTGGCGAGTCCAGCTGAACTATCAAGGTCGGCATCAATGTTGAATGTCGTCGAAATCTAGGCTATCGAATTTGGGGGAGTTAGTTATCCGAAAATACCACTGTGCCGTTTTGGCATGCACTTTTGGTAACAGGAAAAAGTCAGAGGGCACTAAACAGCGAATGAAGGGGCAATCTAAGAATTTGTTAAGAGTAGCGTTTTAGATCGGAGTATATTGGTTGTCAGTCTGGAATTCGAATACGTTTTGAGTTGAATCATTTTATTTTTCCAAGTGTCATGATGGTCCACAACCATCCATGTGATCTGAATTATCTTGCTAAAGACCCATGGTGCAGACGATTGACAGAGGAAGAAACGAGGGTTGTCTAACCAATGCTGACTGTGGGGTCTGAACCGGACCGTGTTTTGCAGTCTGTGAAAGAAGCTATATCGAAAGACGTAACTTATGACTACCTGAAGAATATCCGAAGGAAAATCATACCAAGTAATTTATTGCCTGAATAACTTTTATTCTGCAGGCTACGAATCTCAGGCAGTAGTATTCGATAAGTTGAGGGGTATTGGTCGGCTGATAACCTGGAGTGATGGTGAGCATCAGCAGGTGGGTCGAGTCTGCTTCCGCAGCACCGATCAAACAGCCGCGTACCTCCAATTTCCAGAGGTGGTATGCTTCGATTCAACGTATAATACAAACGAGGGGAAGTAAGTCTATCATGATAGCGTTAACATGAAATATAGCCATAAATTGTTTCAATTTGTTGTGACGGACAGTTTTGGTAACAGTCGCCCGGTTATGTTTGGGTGGACTAGACGAGAACAAAGGGCAGATGTGACATGGATGTTGCATGCCTTTACGCGTATAACGGGTGAAACATCGTCAACACGAACATTTGTTAGTGATTGTGCTAGGGCATTGAAGGCGACCGTAGAGACTGTCTTTCGAAACACACATATGCATATAACCTGTGTTGGACGTCAGTATACTGTTTGCATACCTCCTTGTAGATTCTACCCGAACTAGTATCCACAGACACTCTTCATGTATTGCATTCCGTGTCTTCAAGCTAACTCCATACAAAAAATTATTTGCTACGCTTACCCTTTTCTACGTTGTCCTGTAAATATTGACAGCAGACAGGATTATATCCATGTTTTTTAAGACGGTCTCTACGGTCGCCTTCAATGCCCTAGCACAATCACTAACAAATGTTCGTGTTGACGATGTTTCACCCGTTATACGCGTAAAGGCATGCAACATCCATGTCACATCTGCCCTTTGTTCTCGTCTAGTCCACCCAAACATAACCGGGCGACTGTTACCAAAACTGTCCGTCACAACAAATTGAAACAATTTATGGCTATATTTCATGTTAACGCTATCATGATAGACTTACTTCCCCTCGTTTGTATTATACGTTGAATCGAAGCATACCACCTCTGGAAATTGGAGGTACGCGGCTGTTTGATCGGTGCTGCGGAAGCAGACTCGACCCACCTGCTGATGCTCACCATCACTCCAGGTTATCAGCCGACCAATACCCCTCAACTTATCGAATACTACTGCCTGAGATTCGTAGCCTGCAGAATAAAAGTTATTCAGGCAATAAATTACTTGGTATGATTTTCCTTCGGATATTCTTCAGGTAGTCATAAGTTACGTCTTTCGATATAGCTTCTTTCACAGACTGCAAAACACGGTCCGGTTCAGACCCCACAGTCAGCATTGGTTAGACAACCCTCGTTTCTTCCTCTGTCAATCGTCTGCACCATGGGTCTTTAGCAAGATAATTCAGATCACATGGATGGTTGTGGACCATCATGACACTTGGAAAAATAAAACGATTCAACTCAAAACGTATTCGAATTCCAGACTGACAACCAATATACTTCGATCTAAAACGCTACTCTTAACAAATTCTTAGATTGCCTTTTCATTCGCTGTTTAGTGCCCTCTGACTTTTTCCTGTTACCAAAAGTGCATGCCAAACCAACATAGTGGTACTTTAAATTCGCATCTCCCTTTTATGGATGGCATTCCCTGACAACGAAGTGAATATTCGTCTTCTAAACATGGAGTTAAGTGACCTCTTAGCGTACTCTCTGAAAGGTGTTTATCGCCTCTTCAACTTGACTTTAGAAAGCAAAATGTGGAAACATTATTTCGGCTAAGAACTAAGTCAATCAACCAGTGAAAGTGATATTTATCGCGAAAATTCACTTTAAATTTCTTGAAAAGTGATCTAGTTCGCATTGTAATTACGATATATGCTTCCTATATATGAATCTGATTTACATGCTTATTAAAAGTCTACTGTATGGTTTTTGCATTGGTCAGTAATCAGCAGTATAATATCATTAAAAATGTAAATCCTGGACTACTTCTAATGGTTTTTAGACGTTCGGAAACGATGACTCTCACTGTCCTGTTTGACCGGTGAAAACATCCTAGAGGATTCGGATTTCGCCAATGATCATTTGTTTCTCATGTCTTGTAGTACAAACTCGAAGATCTAAAGGCGAGGACCAACAAGTTAGCAGAAGAGGAAGGACAGCGAAGACGCGACCTCCTTCAGGTGAACATAGAGAAGACAGAGGTGATGATACCTAACTAACAACAATAAGCACCAATCACCATCAATGGGAGAAATCTATAGGAAGTAGTCCCTTTCACCAGCCTACCTAGGTAGCATCGTTTAACATGCAGGCGGCAGCACAGATGAGGATATCAGAGCCAGGCCTTCATTAGGCTGAAATGAGTATGAAGATCTACTGCACTCCACTGCACTTAGCGTAAAGCATGAACGAGATCCAGATTTTCAGCACTAATATCAAGTCAGTGCTTCTATGTCATGGTTGGCGTGTTACGAAAAGCGTTTCCAACAAGCCGCAGTCATGCATCGACAGCTGTCGCCTACCAGCTCTGGTGCTCTTAGGTTCCCAGTGTTCCTCCAACCGATGTCAGACAATGATAAGTACCAACCTGAAGTCAATAACCCCCCTAAAAAAGTCTCAAATACATAAATGACTTTCCAGATGAGTGGATATTTTCAATTCAGAGGTGGTTCGTCCTAATATGGAACTCTTCAGCAGTACGCACCCATGACCCGACCCTCCCAGGGATCGAACCCATGACTTTTGCGTTTCGTGGCCAGCACACTACCATTGGGCCACTAATGTCAGCCCATAATAAATACCAACCTGAAGTCAATTTGTATATTTTTTATTTAGCTGTCCTTTAGAACAATCCAATTGTCAATAATTGGAACGTTAAATTACGTCGTTTATTGTTTTTTTTAAAACTTAGTATTGTGCTTTAAATTCCTTTCTATTTTTATTGCTGCTGCTAGGAGCTATGCCTCATCATTGTGGGTGATCGACTTTCAAGTATTGGGTCCTGTGTTCGAAGCCTTCTTCATCTACTTCTCCCTGGGAAGTCGGATAGTATCATAAGCCCTCATACAACAAGTGTAGTTCATGGACTGGCACATAAATACGAAGTAAATTGAGTTAAATAACGCTAAATCACCCACAAGTGTGTCGGCAACCAGGTAGTAACACATAAATCCAGGCACAATATGCATGACCTATCACCTAGTGCATGACACATATTATCGCTTAGTTAAACTTGATTAAGTTTGTTTCTGCTACGCCGGTCTAACGTAAACTAATTGTAAAAACCGACGTGCATGAGTTATGTAACATCAGATCAAGAAATGTTGGATTATGTTTAGTCAGCGCTATATTGTGAATTGACAGAAGTTGGAAATTGTGAACCACTGAAAATCGACCAGGTGGCTGAATGGTTAATGCATTTGCCATGAGCGTGGGTGCGTACTCCTGAGGAGTCCTAAACAGCTATTCAGTGCTCCCAGATTTCAATGGTTGCCTAGCTGATGTCACTATATGATGAATACTACCTCTATATAAATGATTATCATTTGACTATTTGAGATAGCCGTAGTTTGGCAGTCTAGTATTTATACTAGGTGATGATTGAAGGTGAGGTGAAAATCTGGACCGCGGCCGGATTCGAACCAGCGACTACCGGGTTTCCGACTCAATGCTCTATCTCGGTAGTCTCCGGTTCGATTCCAGCCGCAGTTCAAATTCTCATTTGACCTCCCATCATCATCCAAGTATTTAAATAATTGTTTTAGTGATAAATAATAATGACGGCTTTTATACAATGACATAATATAAAAAGATGATAATTGCAATCATAACAACAGTTTGTGTTTACAATACACAGAAATCTCTGATAGTTCATTGTTCCCATTCCACTAATATATTTTTTTTTGAAAAAAACTGGTGAATTTTCAAATGATGACACCTTTTAGAATTGATGATAGGCAGAAACTGGAATAGTCTCACTGATTTATGCATATTTTACAAATGAGATTCCAAAAAAAAAATAGGGAAGTAAGGGAATTTTTGAATAGGTTAATAATGAACTAGAAAAAGGCTGAAAGTAATTATAAAGAAGATGAGAACATAGATATATTTCATGAATATAATGTAACAGATTGATTAGATGAACTTGAAGGCAATGAACGATGTGTTAAACGTACAATCCAATCTAAAATTTTCATTTGAATTTTAATTATTTGCGAATTTGTTGTTCGAATAAATGCTGGTACACCTAATTGTTCTAAGGCTAATTGTTGTTCAACAACACGTCCATCTAATGAATCTAAAATTCTTAATGAAAGATTATATAAAGCATCTGATTGATTTTTAGCCAATCTCTAAAATAAATATAGAAGAGAGAAAAAAAAAGGGGATGAGAAGAAGAAAAACAAAGTAAACAATCTAATTTTAAAAATTTATTGGTTTTAAATTGATGTATACCATAGACTGACATGAGTACAAACTATTGGATTCGAACCCAGTGACTTAATGATAACGTGTTCACTCTGGGGTCATGGGTTCTCTTTAATGAATAGTCCTATACTAGAAGGAAACAATTGTCTAGTGTTCTTCAATTTTCAACAGTACTCTATCTGCTGTCAGTATGTGATGAACATCTCAACTTGAATGTAAACAATCATTTGAAATACAATAAATTTTCAATCACAAATTTAACTAAAATGAAGTAACATTTCACTGGAATTATAAAAGATTGAAACTACTAAAGTAGAGAAGATCAACTTAGAGTACATTAGAAATACTAAGCACATCAATGCTATGAAGGTTGAAACAAGAATGCTAATAGTTCCTAAGTAGTAAATCTTCTTGAAACAAGGATTCAAGGGTAACATTACCAATGAGATCATCACACAGAGCATAAAACCTTCCCAGTCAATAAATTATGTCCCATCTTCTACAATTGCTCAATTCTAGGTGTAAAAAATAAAAACAAACTGCCTGATTCTGCTCCTGTAGAGCTAGTTACATTGAGAGTACAATGAGGCAGGTTCATAGTCATATTTCTGGGTATCGCCCATCATGCTTGAGCAAGGGACAAATCAGAACAAAAAACAGCTTCATACTTGTACACTTAGTTGACACTAAATATCAAGTGGATACTAGGGAAGCTTTCATGTACATTAAAGGTGGAAGACATGAGAAGGATGGCTTCAGGTATTTGACCACCATTGCCTTAGTAGTATACGCCGTATTCCGTGGTATCACCACGTGAGTAATGCAGAAGTCAGGTGTACAGTTTTAGGGGGAACAGTTAAATCAGTTGACACGCATGGGAACCTTTATCGACTGAAATGGTTGTGACACGTATTGCGTATGCCTAGTTTCTGATTGCCTCGTCACACAATGTTGACCAAAGTAGGTTCAAGCTGGAAAAAGGCCCGAGGTGGCCAGACTAAAACGTGACATCAATGTATGAAGTCTCCGACTGTTGGTTTGAGCCATGTGGGGCGATACTCACTAACCGGTTAGGGTCAGCGGGGCAAGGGAAACCAGTGGTTGGAGACTGACTCTAGGTGATCACATGCCTCAGAACAGGTGTCAGTGGCGCAGATGCAAAAGATGTAAAAGTTGTCCTTCTCTTAACGCGATGCCGTATCTCATCATTTTCTCGTTCTTTCTTTATTTATTTCTTTCAGAACTTTACATTTCTGTTGACTGGACTTTCTTCTCTTCATCTTCGACTTCACTGCCTTTTTACTTGATGTACCAGTATGAGTTGTGGCAACTCAAACCGTACTACCTGATCGGACAGTATTACCTGATCCTATGTTGATATTGATGATTTCAAAATTTTCCATCACATCCCAGCTAATTTACCACATGGATTACGGCACTCGCTTACTTCACATATCAGAGGTGATTGCAATCCATCCACCTTTACAAACCTAACCTTTGTATTCAAAAGAAGTTTGTTAGACCACTTTCATTACTGTGGCCGCTAACATGATGCAACTTCAAGCATAACTTTGTACACCTCTTCCCTTCTCCTCTTGTTTCCATCAGTATTCATTTTTCGTATTACTATTACGTAATCATTTCTTGTTTATGACTGAACACTCATCAAAAATCACGCCATTTACTAAAGAATAACCTACTTCATATTACCAATTTTAATTACTCTATTGATTATTTGCATTGTAATTTCTAAAACTTATCATCATCTTTATGACTTCGTTAAAATCTGCATGATTACTGTTCACCAACCCCTCCCTCCCATTTGATTGGTATTTTGATTGAACTGTAAACCCACGTATATTAGTGTAGAGCCCTAGACGAAGACCTAATTTCAAGTTATTATTCATCGTAAACTGACATCAGTTGGAGGGATAAAGGAAACCTAGGAACACTGGACACGGGACTCCTCAGCAGTGCGTACCCACGACCCCGCCTTCCAAGGACAGAACCCGCGACCTTCGGGTTCCATGGCCAGCACGTTACCATTAAGCTAGCCACTGGGTCGGTATCCAATGGTCCATATTTCCAACTTCTGTCCCATACTAGGACGAAACAACTGTCTAGTGCTCCCAGGTTTCCTTTGTTCCTTCAACTAATGTCAGTCTACGAGGAATAACAACTTGAAATATTTTCAAATCTCTACAACTTCCTGGGAAGACGTAATTGAAAAGGAACACATTTCTTCGCTCAATCATTTTTTTAGGTGTCGAAATGAGGCAAGGTGTACCAAGCAACTAAGTCAGTGAGGTTGTGAAAATTCAGCGACTGAGTTGGCTTGGACTTATGTTGTGCATAACGACGCAAAGTTTAAAGAAGGCTAATGATAGGCAAACTAAGACATGGTATCAGTCTATGAAGTTTCTAACTGTTGGTCTAAATTATGTAAGAAGGTGTAGTCCACCTAGCTGGGGTCCGTGAGACCACAGGAGTCGATATTTGTTATACTCCTGGTGGGATTGCTGAAAAATAGGTTACAATGACGTCTTCTGAAGTTCAAATCTTTCAATAATCTTGATTTTCGAATTCGATCTTCTCCCATACACATTTATCTACTTTGATATCAGCCTTTTTCTGTGCACTTATTGTTTACACGCTACTGGAAAGTGAAGCAACTGGAATCAATGCCCACGTATACGGAATTCTACATTCATTTTGCCTCCCAGTAGGCACAAAATTAGGTTTTAAAAGATCTACTGATAGCCAATATCCTTCGAAAGAATAACTGGCTGCTGATTACACCATCCAATACATGCTTCGATAAGTGAGTTCGAGCTCACTCTTTAAAAGTACTCTCGTTATGTTGGCATTCAAATATGGTTTAAAAACTGACAGATTCAAATAACAATTTTACATCGAAGAAGATATTGGTTACATTTCTATTCAATATAATATGCTCAGTTAAGAAACACTGTTCGTAACCTATAGTATTTCAATTTCTACCATAGATGAAACTTTCTTCAAATACTTCACGAAATCAATGTATTCTTGAATATATCGTTATCATGGAACCTATGGAGGGCTAAAGACGTCGTTGATTTGACATCAAACAAAATGAAACTTACTTCATAGCATTACGATTCCTATTCTTGAGTTCAAGTGTTTGAGTAAAGGCAATAATGATGTGATGTTCGTTTTAGCATAATGAAGTCTTTACTCAATTAATTAAAGCCATATCATTCCACAGTGCAAGAATCATCAGGAAAAAAAAGGATCAGGTGGTCATTTTACCATACAACATCGTGGTATTTAGTATAGTTGTAGTAACAAACATTGATCAATCTTATGTCTCTAGGTGTATTCTCAATAAAGACAATACTCAATGGCTCAAAGGAGCATATTATGGCAGTTTATTGAATTATCCAATACGCTTTTTCTTAACACTATATTATTCATCACCTAATGCAATTTAAGTGATGCATTTTTTTTGGTGTTTATGTTTTACGAGAAACTTTAAAGATCACCCTACCAACCATTGAAATAACCAATTACTTTACTCTATTTTAAGGAAAACTATATTCGTAGCGGAAATCCTGAAGATTGGTCATTTTAGTAACTGGTGAAATAACCTATCAGGTATTCCGGTTAGAAAGAGGGTTTTTCATACAAGAGGTAGAAATTAGTTACCTTAACAGTTTCTAGGGTGGTTTTTTGGGTCACGCTTAAAATCACGGCAACTTTAAAAACCACCATAGCAACGATGGAAACAATCAATCAGGTTTCTCTATTTCGGCTAGAGAGGCAGATTTTTATAAAATAGAGAAAATTTGATTGGTTATTTCATTTGTTGCTAAGGTGACCTTTAAAGTCACTCTGTTTCACTGAATCAGTGTTTCAAACAAAAGTGCGTTTAATGAACCAACATTCTTTGTTTCAAATACAGTTTTACTGATTTAGGATGACTGAAACTACATTTCAGAATGAATAGACGATAAACATTTGACCATTCTGTGTAACTGCATTCAACACACAACAAGTCGAGACAAGCAAGCCAGTTTATCTTTATTAGTATAGTGTATGGAATAAAGTTCTAATTTAGGAAGAAAACAGCTTTCGGGATATCTAAAAGCTTGAAAAAGTCCACTTATTTTTATCTTCAGATTCTCTACTCCTTGATAATCACTCGTTTTCTATCCATCCACTTGTTCCTTGTATACTAGTATGAACTGTGCCAACTTGGGCCGATTTACCTGTGTACGAGGTCCAAAGTTGATTTTGTCAGTTAGTTAGTCAATCAGTCACCAATTAAATTAGTCACCGAACAGAGAAATCATTATCAAATAACACAGTTTCTGGAACGAATTTTTCAGAATGAAAATAATCTCTAATCAGAACTTCTTTTGAGAAAAAAGAGCGGATAGCGATATACCTTGAGGTGATCCCTATGCCAATGAACAAGAGTTACTCCAACCAGCCTACTATTGCACTAAAAGATCGATAAACTAGTAGCTAATGGTAGCTATGCAATTCAATAATTTCATCAGTGGAAGTAAGAAGATAACTTAATTGGATTTCGTTGAAAATTCTCATCAGTCAGTAAGGAATCATTACAGAATAGTGCAGAATAAGATTGTAGAATGTGAGAAACACACTCACCTGTGTCTCTTGTTCATGTTCACGTCTAAGTACTGGTAAATGATGTGGCCGGGATGAATTCATAGATATTTCCTCTCGATGTCTTCTTCGTAAAGCAGATCGGTTGGCTAAACGATAGGCACCAAAACAAAATTATACAACTTAGTTACCGTTATAAAAAAAAATCTAATACGATGCACGGTACATTCTACAAAAAAAATCAACCGTCTACTTATAAGTAGGCAAAAAGCGTTATCGAAATTTCTCTCAGTTAGTTTGTCACGATGTCTCCGTCCACAGTTTGTTAACATGCGAGTTAGAGGTTAGAATTACAATGTTTCAACTATAAGACGGTATAACCTCAATCAGTATCCAACGGCTGTTTTGTCCTAACTTAGAATATCATAAATTTCGATTTTCGGAAACCTCTTCAATCAACACATCTGCAAAGATTATGCTATTGACCAAGGAGCTGGTTAGCATAGAGTACGCACCATTTTCCAACCTTAGCCATTTCTAGGAGGACAATGTTGGTCTTCTTTGCAAATAAGTTATCATCTATCTTAACATTAAACTTCGATTAAACATGATGCACTTGCTGAAGCAAGTAAATTCGACAAACAGGAAGATGGATGTTTATTAGCATCACAGAACATGTTCCGAAAACCACATAATGAATGCATAAACTTACCCAGTAATGTAAAACTGTATCATATACTAGATTTAGGAAATGAAATCAAACAAACGAAGCATTCAGAATCATAAAGACGTATTGGTTTATTAGTTTGCAGAAACCGATACACTCAGAGGAATTCAACTCGATTTTCATGATCAAAAGTAACTTGTCATTAACTTCTGACTACTCTAGCAATGTTTGAAGAATGTGTTCGCATACTTACAGTCAATTTATCGCTTTTTTTTTTACCTTTATTTTGCTGAGTTCAGTATTATTATAATGACTTGACCATTACTTCAAGGAATAACATCAGTTGGAGAAACATGGAAAACTTTAAAGCATTGGACAGATGTTTTGTTATGGGTTAGGTCTCCTCCAAATCACTGGGCATGCACAACCCTGCAATCCAGTGGAACTCACGATCATCAGGTTTTGTGATGACCAGTTGATGAGTGTTAAATTAGTCAGAAACACATACCCTGGTGATTTTTCAACTGATCTTAATCCATGATGAAAACTATCGTAGTAGCAATACATTCCCCACCTACCATGACACTTCTCTCATTCGTTTAGGTAATAATATTGTAGTTCTTATCTTTCGCTATATCCTCTGAAGTGTACACCCACTTTAATTATGAAAATTAATTAACTTTAATCTTGATTTAATGCTACATATTACCTACTTGTTTTATTATTACATTTCTCTATACTTGGCAACAAAATATTGAATTGAACATTATTGTAAGGGTAAAACTTGGGCACTATGGTAAAGTATAATTCTGTATTAGACCCTTTATTTGATATAGCACACAATGATGCAGTGTTATTTACTGGATGACATTTCGAGCAAAGTTAATTATTCATATACATATCAAAATCTGAATTTGTTGAAAGCAGATAGATTTGGTCTTATTGGAAAGTTTATAGTCTCCTTACTTTATTGTTTTCATCAGTCTGTATTTCAGTTGTTCGATGTCACTGTGAATACTAGCTAAAATTTTGATATTCCTGTGGGAATTTTGTATTAGCCGATGAAATATACCCATCTATTTATGAATAAGAACAAGACATGTATCAGTGAAGAAATATTTCTTTTCAACAACTTCATTATCAAGCTGTATAGTCGTCTTCATAATCGTTAGAATGACAGATAAGTGTACTAAAAAGTTGCTCAGTCAGTGTGTAAAATATACAACTTCATCCATATGTGAACACCCAGTAGAGTTAGGTCATTCAATACCTCAAGATTCATCCTTTAAAGTACTTTATACAAAGATAAATTGATCTACTCCAAAGGTTTACGTTTCTATTATTCATACATTGCTGAAGTATTAGCTATACATGAAAGAAACAACCAAAAATTTGCATTCAAAAACGTTTTGTGAAACCATTTCCTGTATCTTGGATTTAACAATTCATTTTGTTGATTTCATTTCATATCACTTTGGTATACTTCTCTTTTACTATCATCATCATTACTGCCAATTTTCCCTTCATTGACAACATTTGATCCATATTTCATTATTTCCTATCAATTCATCCTTATTCATTGACACAATTTGTATATTTCAGTTAAATTATCACCGTTTCATAATTTTTTGACAGTATGTATGTATATCTCTTATCTTACTACTTGTTATCAATTTCTTCCATATTCAGTGATCCATTTTCTATTTCTTCCACTTGAACAAATACCATCATCTACACCTATTCTATATTTTGTATATTAACTGAGCAACATTTTAGTACAATTATCTATTCACTTTACTGAGTATAAATACGACTGTACAACTTGATAATGAAGCCGTTGAAAAGAAATCCTACTTTTCCTATTAGATCATAGTTTACTGACTTGTTCTATTGCACTTCTAACTTGTTCTGTTAGAATTCTAGTTTGTAAACGACGATACTCAGGAGTAATATGGCTTTTTATGCATTGTATGTTAAAAAATACAATGGTTTGCGCATTAGTCTGAAATTTTTGTGAGTTTATTTACTAGTCTTCGAACAGGAAGATCATAAATTTCATTATTGTAAGAGTAAAATTTGGGCACTGTGGTAAAGTATAATTTCGTATTAGACAGTTTATTCAATATGGCACATAGTGATGGAGTATTATTTACTTGATGATATTTCCGGTAGAATTTATTACTCGTTTAACGCCCAAAACTTTCCACATGTGTTAAAACATTCAAAGAATATCTTGAAAAGCTTTAAAAGATAAAAAAGAAACTACCATGCTTTTGATATTGTAAACTGAATACAAACGAAATGCAGTGTACACGTAACATGCTTTGAGTCAGACTTGATGTGTAACACCTTAGGATACAATCATCTTTGTGATCATGCTGAAATCGGCGGAGAAGGCGATTTACACAACTACCCTCCTTTTAAAACAACATGAATACTCTCATAGATAACAATGCTGGTTAGCAGTGAAACATCTGCTACTTGGACATAAAAAGCTCAAGATAATAATCCACTGTAACATTTAACCGATATAATAAGTATGAAAAATGTTGAGATTCTCAGATCCACTTTAATTGGGGACGCGTAATCTAGTTACTGAGTCAATGATATATGGCCTTAACAACTCACTCAGTCAGTCAATATACAAGAAGAACATAATATTGGATTGAAGCGAGTCTACTCAAATCGAAAGTATGAAAGTAATAATCCAAGGAGAGAAATCTTATGTTTAAATTCAATTTATCCAACCTTGAGGCGAGAAGATAGAATAACATATTTAAAAGTCAAACATCAACTAGCAGGAAAATAGTGTTCTTAAAAGCGATAAAATTGAGTAATACACATGAGGTGGGAAGAAGAGAATTCAAATTTTCCACAAGATAAATTTCTAAGGATTAAGCATAAGAAGTTCATTTTCGATGACATAATATTGATGGATAATAATACCTTGCTAAAACTGATAACTATATAGAATCAACTCAAAACTGAAAGTATACCTAAACTAAAGAGGATTATTATTATTATTTATCCCTTGGGTTCCTAATGGAGCAAAGGGCTTCATTAGCACGTCTCCAGTGCACTGCGTTCTCTGAAATCTTTAGAACCTGTCGCCACGACTGCCCACAAGCTTTCATTTCTTTCTCGCATGATCTCCTCCACGTCACCCTCGCCTCAGACGCCTAACTCGTCGCTTCCCCTTTGGATTCCACTCGAAGGCCTGGCCTGAGCGTGATGTCCCCAGTCGGCCTTCTCGGTGTATGCCCAATCCATCTCCACTTCCACTTTCTTCGGCATATTTGTCCAGCGATTGGTTCTTGGTTGATTTGTTCCCAGAGTTCCTTGTTGCTGATTCTTTCTAGTCATCTGAGCTTCAGTAACGAGCCAGCTTAGGCAGTTGTTGATGAATATCTGTAGTTTGTTGGAAATGCCTTTCGTAACGCGCCAAGTCTCTCAACCATATAGAAGCACTGACTAAATGTAACATCATTCAAGCTTCGTTACTCTTTTATCCAAAACTTAAAACAGTTGTATGTGGACACCTTTCATTGAATAAACTTCACTTCCGATAGCGAGACTCAGATACTAATCCTGCCGATATGAAAATCACGTGTACTAAGTTTAAAATTGCACAGTTAAAGACGTTAAAAGGCAAAAGGTCATTTTAAACTTTTCTTTCAAGTCTACCGATATTCATTCACCCACGACAGCCAATCACCAGCCTTAACGAAACTCCAATCAACTCATTTATATTAGTTAGCTAGAGGGTGAAAACTACCAACATGACAGTTAAACTCCAGTGTTCATGGGTTTAAAAATTATCAACTCAATCAATTGGTTGAGTGGATAACGTTTCGGAAGCACTGAATCCTGGGTCTCAGTGGGAACAACATTGCTCACTGGCGTGAAAATACATTCAGCTGACGAGTGAGTTTGAAATGGGATGAAACGCCCGTCCTAAATCCCACTGCTACTCACCGAAATGAATATAACAGTCAATTTCGGTAGTCTAAAAATAAGGGCGACTTTGTAGGCTACCCTAACAGCTGCTGAGATAACCAATCAAGTTTCAGTATTCCGGCTGGAAAGGAAAGTTTTTCGTAAAATAGAGAAACACAAACTCAGCAGTTGCTGGGGCGGCCTTTAAATTTAACCTTAACATACTAAACAAATAAATTTGTTACCAAGATAACATATGGACTGGGATGGTAAGCTTTAAAAAAATATGTTCAACTAATCGGAGTGACTTTAAAGGCTACCCTAGCAACAACTAAGATAACCAATCTTAACTCCTCTATTTTATGAAAATCTGCCTTCCGAACTGAAATGAAACCTAGTTGGCGGTTTCAATCGTTGCTAGGGTGGCTTTTAAAGTCGTCCACTAATCGACATGCAAGTGTAAGCGTAATCAAAAGAAGAGAAGTCAAAGCAGCTTTGAATTTAATGTTAAAAAACAAGAGAATAAACATGCAAACAGAAAGGACG